GTCTCCAGGAGCTATTCCACTTCATACCAGCGGTACGCCGAGTAGATATTATCTCCTCTCCTGAATTGAACTCGAGAGCAATGTGGACTGCAGTAAGTTAAAGGAATCTTGCGCGGAAAAATCATGATTCTATTTCAGCCATAAATCACTGGCTTGAGACTCATTATCCACGATAATAATGAAAAGAACAGAAAAATTGCTTTGTTTTGGTAAAAAATTCGAAAACTCGAAAGGCTGCTACGCGTTCAAAGTACCGCCGGACATCTGTCACAAATGCTGGCGAATGCTTCCACTTGGTTCTGGAGTGCCTTCACTAGAAACTCTTTCTGGCCTTTTGACTTATTGCATTAACACGTTGACGACATCGCGCGTTTTGGGTTTTTGCACCGCGTGGGACAAGGGCGCTTTTGCGAGCGCGGCCGTCACACCTCACACCCGTAAATTTCGAACGATAACCTTGGGAAGCTTCAAAGGTACGAAACCATTTCAGCAATATTCAATGCGTAGAAAGTAATCGAAGATATAGTAGCGAAATTCCGATCAAAAAACGTGAAATGGTAAAGAAAATTGGAATTCAAGTCCTTTTCTCTGTAGTGGATGCCAAAACTATTTTCGATGTGGATGTGTCAAGTGAAACATATATCTTTCTATCCCTTTAGTTTGTATTTACTTTCACTACCTTTTCTCACTGACATGTTCATCAGAATAGGAAGAAAACGAGGGATGAACCGAGCTGCCAATTCCGCTGTGCTTAAAAAACTTCTGCTAAACTGGAGCATATTTGATCATACCGTGACCCATGTCGTTTACAGTTATGTTATGTTGTAATCCATAGAATAGAGGCAAGCAAATTGGGAAGAATCCCCGCATGCGAAAAAGGGATGAAGGGTGAGACGCGCAACCGCGTCTCAATGTCCAACGAGGTGCGCAAAGTGAGACGCGTTACCGCGTCTCAATGTCGTCAATGTGTTACATCTCACACTTCTACTCCATCCTATTCTATCGATCGATTTGTCTCCACTCTCCAAAATCGCACGCTTTAACCCGATTCTTTCATTGCGTCGCCTGATACGTAGCCACCCCAAGACGGACTTCTTCCACTGTCCTTTTCTTCCAATTGAGACACTCATGTTGGGAATGAATGCAAGATTTTTTCGAGGTTCCCTTAAAGCCACGAGTCAGGATTAGGTGACCATAGAAGGCCTTTCCATCACTAATATTTCCAGGAATGCGCTCAGAGGGGTGATGCCACACTCCTGACTCGAGATTGCGCGCCGTCAAGGCCTCTGGCCTACTACTTACAGCGATGGGTTCGTTTCATCAGCTGGTCCCGCCCACCGCGGGATGTGGTGCGTGGCTGGCCTAACGTGTGAGATCAGCTAGGTTGATTGCCGTATCAACCGATGGAACGGCTGGCATATCCGGAAAACTCGTTTGGACGTGGCTCTCCCCGAGCAAGCCTCCTTCACTGCTAGAAGGGAAGGGGTTTCGATTTCGGTCTTGTCGACGGTTTCTTTGCGTTTTTTCTTCACTGTCGTTCCACCTCCCATCTCTACACTCAATTTCAGGCGCCATAATGCCCAAACACGAGCCTGACTTTTGCCTTTAAAGATCAGCCAAGCCATTCCATTTCGCATACAGTTATAAAAAGTGTATAGACCTTGCCGCTATCAGCCGGTGGATGGGTTGTGACAGCGTTCGAAGATCATGGCTCCCAAAGAGTCAGAAAGTAACTTTTTTGAGCGCCCAAGCCTCCATGGGTGAGAATAGTTACACCGTGAAAATGTGAACATAACACATAACTAACTTTATTGGAAGGGGCAAAAAGGCTGACAATTGAATATTTTTGGGGGTCAGCATGGTAAAGTATCTCTGGAATTTGTGTTACGTAAGCCTTATAAAACATTCTATTTTACATAGATTTGGAAAAATAAAAAAGATCGAGAACGCTGGGCAGATTATAAATTAGCTCAAAACAAGGAAATAAACGCTTTAAGCATAGTATAAAGGGAAGTCCTAATGACCGCATTCGATAGCTTGGGTATAAAGGGTCTGATCCTAAAAGTTTTGCTGTCTCCCAATTTTCTCGATGAGTCCGGCGGAACTCACGCAGCGCAGTCGTTGCGGTTTTCTGAAATGTGACCTGTTAGATTTTCGATTTTCTTTAATAGAATAGAGCCTACAGTTGGTGAGCTCAGCCTGGTGATTTCGAACTGCATGAGCAGCTCGCCCTAAAGGCAGGTGATGCGTCAAGAGGTCGCCCTTTAGAAATGAAAGTTGAGGTAAAGAATGGTGGAGTCGTGAGTGAGACTGATTTCCAACTGGATAATATTTTACGGTGGCTGGCGTCATTAGCTTGAATGACTTGCTCTTCTTCGCCGCTAGCGGTTGCTGGAGCAGACGATCGGAAAGTGGACAAAGGGAGCGTTCAGCGATACCGATGAGGCCTTATTGCGACGCTGCGCGCGCATCTAACGCCTCGAAACGAACACAGTCAGCGTATGTGTGCCTAAGGCACTAAGAGAATTTCCCTCTCCTTTTCCTTGTTATTTTTTTCTTATTTATTTTAATTTTACTTCTTAGCACGAAGTTGTCGTACCAAATGCCTATAAGTGCAGACGCAGCCAATACAGGGTAAATTTTCCGGTTACCCGACCAGAAGAAGGCCCATGTGCGATTCATAGAGTTAAGGTGATCGGTATGCTAGACAGAAATTTTTTCTTCAAGTGGAGGTTTCAGAAGTTAAATTAAAGGAATCTTCCACGGAAAAAGCTCCGCCTCCATTACCACAGAAAAACGATACCCTTAGGCCCCTAGCCTCATGAGCATAGCAAAAAGAACGGAACATAAGCGTTAGTTTCGATAATACTAATCCTACACACAAGACAAAATGATCACTCTTTCCGTGGAAGATTCCTTTAAGGTATCGTTTTCTGTGGTAATGAGGGCGGAGCTTTTTCCGTGCAAGGTTCCTTTAAATAGGTATTAAAAAATCTTGGCAAAGTAGGCAACATTCCCCCCCCCCTTTGCCCCTCCTCCCCTGCCTATTCGCCTTGCGATCTTTGGGAGTTATGGGAGCGTAGCTGGAAGAGCGTATGATTAGAACACTCTCAACGACACTATTGATACCACCAGTTACCGGGTCTAAAATCAGACCTCAAGCGTAACGGTGACCCCGATTGAAGTGTAGGTTACTATAATGCGAATAGCCGGTAATACAAAGTTGACTGACCTGAAGCTCGGCATTGCTGGTTACATTGCAATGCCCACAGCATGGGCTTAATGGCAGGTGGTGTTGTAAAGGGATGAGCTCGTACTACTGCCGCCATCCCCAATATTGCGCCGTGCATTGAAGGAGTGCTTTTGTTCTTCATCAAATCGTTCAAATAGTTCTATAAAGCCCCACGATTAAAGCAAAGTAACGCCATCAACAGGAGGGGAGAATTCACCGAAAGCTCCTTATCGACTTTGATGTATTCACAGAGGATTAGAGTGAACATTGCACGCGATGCTTCGATTCGTACTTCCACCTATAAAGCGTAGTGAAGTCAATCAAATGTTTCAAAATGAGGTAGCAATAAGCGACTAACCTGGTGATCAATAATTGCATCATAGAGTAATCTTAACACTTTTGCAGGACGAAATTTTTTCTCTAACTCGTAAATATTGGAGAAGACTAGTACTTGGATAAATTTTAAAACTGATACTTTAACACGCCAAAGATAAGTAGTGTAGAATGCCTGAATTAAACTCGCTTTATTCACCACAAGGTTGTGAATACATACACTTCTTGCTCCTTCATCGTTGTTTTCGGGAGAACAATTCAACAATGTCTTACTCGTACACACAGGTGAAATAAAGCGAAGCGTATTTTAGGACCAAAATGGTGCGGTTATTGCACACGGATATGGAAGTATAGGTGCGAAATGGCCCGCCAGTGAAGAAAAAAGGAAAAAAAAATCCGTCAAAACGCTTTTGACCAGCCCTGGAGTTGAACTAACTTTATGGTACGCCTTTTTAATGTGATTGTCGTCGCTATGTCGCCGTGTCGCGGGCTGCGTCGTTGTCATGGTCCAGTTGCGCAGGCGCTCTGCCCTAGAAGTGGAGGCCGCGCCCCAGTCGAGATCGGTCGTCATCAGCGGTCGCCTCTGCCGGTAAAAGCGTACTTGCTCTCAATGAGGGGGAGGAGTGCACCAGGCTACAGCCAGCAGGAGCCCAAGGCCGCACATGAAGTGCGCAGAGCAGAACTGCCGTATGGTCGGGTGCACGATAGTCCCTATCAGGGTTCGCCCTCTTAAGCCCAATGGTGTGATCGGCTGTAGAGCCCTCAATAACCTTTGAGGGAAGAGGCGTGCACAGTAGGATTACCGCAAGGACCAATGGAGGACATGTTCAGATCCCGGCAGGAGTAAGAGTAAGACGTCGGAAATGTTCAGGGGAAGGACTATAATGAATGCGTTCATATTTGTGTATTGCTGTGTATTAGAAGTAATGGTCAGGGGGCGCCAGGGCGAGGGGGTCGTGCCAGACGATCCAGCGCATCCGATGGTAATGTTCGATGGTTAGGACGTTGTGTAGATGCCTCGGGGAGCGGCGCCGTGCCGTGAAGGAAAGCGACACGGACCCCGGAGTGACTCGCTCAGGGATAGGCTCCCTTTAGTTGAGAGAAGGGAATCCGGATCCCGGAAAAGGGAACTGAAGGGTAGTCTCGCATAATTAGGATACCCTTCCCCCAGCGGTTCCGCGACAGTGATGATTGAGTTGCATAGTATAACGAAATCGGAAAAGAAAGCAAGAAAAACAATCGAGAGCTCTAAAAAAGAGTCTGAACTTTTATTAAAGGGTAGGTGGCACGACGGCGAGGCAGAGGACTATAGAGGACAAAAACACGCGCGACAGCACGTCGTACCAGAGAGCACGCTGATCTTTACATTTGTCGCGGTGAATGGAGAAGGCTGCAGTGGTCCAACTCTAACTTCGTTTGGCCCATTGCAGCAGTTCAGCTACAAATCAATTAGGTCGTAGTAAAGTAATGGTAAGGCA